CAATAGCTGTGTTAGTGATTGTCATCAAAAAAGGTTAGCACTTCAAGCCACTTTGCACACATTTCCTTAATCTTTGAAGTAGGCAACTTCTTCAGTTTCTCTATCCCCTCCTCCGAAGCAGTTTCCTCAGGTCTGGCCTCTTGCTGTTGAAGATGATCTAGCAGCTCATCAGTGGTTAGTTCGTCATTGTCCTCCTCCACCAACTCTTCCACATCCTCCCCACTAACCTCCAACCCCAAGGACTTCCCCAATGCCACAATGGATTCCTCAACTGGCATAGGATTCTCAGGGTTAGCCTCAAACCCTTCAAAATCCCTTTTGTCTACACATTCTGGCCACAGTTTTTTCCAAGCAGAGTTAAAGGTCCTCTTAGTCACTTCCTCCCAAGCCTTACCTATAAGGTTTATACAATTGAGGATATTAACCCTTTGACTGTTTCAGGCCCCTCTCTGAAACTGTCATTCTATGTCTCCAAATATTCGAGAAAAAAAAATTTTTTTTTCTTATGAAAATGTTAGGAATATTTTTGTGAGTGTTTTAAGCCTAAAAAAAAACTTTTGCCATCGGTACTTACCGAGATATAGAGTCGCAAAGTTTGCTGAAAGTGACGTGCGTACGGCAACAGCGGCGACTGCCGCCCACCCGGTATTATTTTATTTACTCTGATTCAAAGGTTTCTTGCATTTTTCAATATTTTTCTGTTCCAGGTAACTTATGTGGCCTGTGAGACCAATGTAAGGTGCATTGTTCAAATATACACTCATTATTTACAACACAATAACAGAACAAACTTTATCACTATTAGTTTGTGTATACACTTTGTTTACACAAACAAACAATACAAAACAATGTTTATTACTATTGTTCCATAATATATATACATATGTACAGTCACTAAACACGTTCCTAGAACTGCTGCAGCTTGTGGAACTCTTTGAAACATGGGTATATGCAGAGGGGCACTTCACACTCCTCACACATAAAACGACTGTCTCTGCGTGTTTGTGGGCATTTTGTGGTATGCATACGTACATAACACTTCTTCTGAGCATTTTTCTTGGCAATAGTAGGAGGCAGTTGTATGGGGTAGTGATCACCAGGCCTGAAACGAGGTGACGTGTGTGGGCGCTGGTCTATTGCAGGAGTTGCTCCTTGGTACTTTGCAATTATTTGTCTGATTACTGACAGGCAAAATTCACCATATTTTGGTGTTTTGTTGGTCTTTAACTTGTATATGTTATAAGCATTTAGCATAGAGATATCAACAAGATGGAAAAAAAGTTTTATATACCACTTATAACTCTTGCGTACACAGTCTGCAAACCCAATCTGCATGTCACATTTGTCCACTAAGCGCATATTGAGGTTGTAGTCCATGACAGCTGCAGGCTTTAGAATGGGTTCATTGGTCTCTCTGTTGTCCCTACCACTGGGTTACCATTTCGTTTCTTATGAACTGATGTCAACAATGTGACATCACGTTTGTCATGCCACCGAAATGCCATGATGTCATTGGCAGCAAAGGCTTGCACCTCACCTCTGCGAGTGCCAGCGTCGAACCTTGGCATATGTTTACGATTACGACGCACTGTGCCACACACGTCTGTCAAGTTCGCTCGCAAGAAATCACTGAGTAAGGGGCTTGTGTACCAGTTATCAGTAAATAACATATGCCCCTTACCAAGATATGGTTCCATCATTGTTCGAACCACATCACCAGAGATACCCAATAACTTCATGGTATCTCTCAAAGTATTACTGCCAGTGTACACAATGATATCCAAAACTAGACCACTTCTGCAATCACACAATACAAATAGCTTTATACCAAAGCGTTTCCTCTTGCTTGGTATATATTGCTTGAATGAGAGTCTTCCTTTGAATAAAATCAAGGACTCATCAATAACAAGCTTCCTGAAGGGATAAAAATACATGCAGCACTTTTGTTTCAGGTACATAAACACATTTTTGATCTTATATTAACCTGTCGCTTCTGTCAGGCCTGGTTTTGTCTGAAAAGTGTAACATACGTAACAGTATCAGGAAACGATTGACACCTATAATGTCACTAAAACCTGGAGTTGAAATCAGGCGTTCTGTTGCCCAGTATGGGGTGACAGTGTGCTTATACACATGTGGCATAAGCATTATTGTGGCAAAAAACAGGTACATCTCTGCCACAGTTGTCTCCTTCCACTTGTGTAGCCGTGATTTTGGTGAGAGAATTGTATTTGCCATGGTGTAATCACAGTATGTGTTTGTTTCCCTGACAATGATGTGCATCAGGGGTTCATCGAAGAATAAATCAAAGCAGTCAAGTTCACTGGCATTGTTCCCAAGTGGACAAGATGGCTTTATTCCACTTTGTGTTTCATCAAAGTCATGGGGACTGGGAACAAACTCGTCACCGTCCTGGGCCCAAACCCAGATGCGGTCTGCTGGTGGGGTCTTGGATATTGTACCGTGGTTGTGGTTGTGCAGGTTGTGGGGGGTGCAGGTTGTGGGAGTGTGGGTAGGGTGAGGCTGGTTGTTGTGCAGAGTCAGCAGCGTGGGTAGTAGCGTGGCCCGCTGATGGTGCCACATGGGCCGTTTCCACCCTCGCTATCACCACCACTGCCTGCTCCATCACTCACATCATTCATACCCATCGTTACAATATCGTCATCTTCACTATCAGGTCGTGGTGTAGGGCCACGGGATGTGCTCCCAGAGTTTCTCCTTCCCCTTGGAACAACATATGAAACACTACCAGACCGCATGCTACGTCGTGCATACTGCCGCTTCACTGGGGAATATTCACTCTCACTGTCACTAGAACTGCTTTCAATGACCTTGAAATCACTATCACTATCACTGCTAACATCTGGGTGTTGTACACGACCAAATAGTTTCCTCTTTCGTCCTGGTACAGGCGAACGTGAACGTGAACAAGCCGGCCCAGCACCAGAGGTGGAAGGTTGTGGGTCATCTGGGTTTTCATCACTAATTATGTTATCCTGGGCACTTTTTCCGGTAACACTCACTTCAAAACCCTGGAATTCACTGTCACTGACATTTTCATCGCTGTTAGAGCTATCACTTGGGAACAAAAGACCTCCAATCCGTCGAGTAGTGAGGAACTTCTTACCGAGAGGCATGGTGAAAATGGACTAGCAACAGGGCGTTCCCACAATGCACCGCTGGGTCCCAGATTTTTTTCACAGGGTGCACACCGACCACTGAGACCCATTCTCTCTCATGTAGGCCTACCAGGCCTTTCCCACTTGATTTGAAGCCGCTAGAATTTGTGCGTATAAATACGTCAGAAACATTGGCTCGTAAGACGTATTTATACGTCGGAAACAGTCAAAGGGTTAAAGTGATCCTTCCAAAACTCTTTTAGAATCAGTTGAGTTTCTGTGGTCACTACAAAGCACTTTTGAAACATAGATTTTGTGTACAGTTTCTTGAAGTTGGAAATGACCTGCTGGTCCATGGGCTGCAGGAGAGGAGTGGTATTAGGAGGCAAAAACTTGACCTTAATGAAGCTCATGTCCCCAGAAAGTCGCTCTGCCAAGTCTGTAGGATGACCAGGGGCATTGTCTAATACCAGGAGGCACTTAAGGTCTAATTTCTTTTCAATTAGGTAATTTTTCACGGGGGCAAATGCATGGTGTAACCAGTCATAGAAAGAGTCCCTAGAGACCCATGCCTTACTGTTTGCCCTCCACAGCACACACAAATTAGCCTTGAGGATATTCTTTTGCCTGAACGCTCTGGGAGTTTCTGAGTGATACACCAATAAAGGCTTCATTTTGCAATCGCCACTAGCATTGGCACACATGAGAAGAGTAAGCCTGTCTTTCATAGGCTTATGTCCTGGGAGTGCCTTTTCCTCCTGAGTAATGTAGGTCCTGCTTGGCAATTTCTTCCAAAACGGACATGTTTCGTCACAATTAAACACTTGTTCAGGTTTCAATCCTTCAGCCTCTATGTACTCCTTGAATTCATGCACATATTTTTCAGCCGCTTTGTGGTCCGAACTGGCAGCCTTACCACACTGTGTGCCACTACGATTCTTAAATCTTTCAAACCAACGTTTGTTGGCCTTAAATTCACTCACATCACCACTAGTTGCAGGCAATTTCTTTACCAACTCATCATGCAACTGCCTAGCCTTTTCACAAATGATTGCTTGAGAGATGCTATCTCCTGCTATCTGTTTTTCATTTATCCACACCAATAACAGTCTCTCAACATCATCTAACACTAGCGATCTGTTTCAAAAACAAAGTTGCACCTTTTGCAACAACAGCTTCCTTGATTGCCGTTTTCCTGGTCACTATAGTAGAGATGGTTGATTGGGGTTTACTATACAACCTGATCAGCTCCGACACACGCACTCCACTTTCGTACTTTGCAATTATCTCTTTCTTCATTTCAATAGTCATTAGTGCCTTTTTTCTCGAAGGGTTGGCACTAGAAGCTTTCTTGGGGCCCATGGTTACTTATTTTGCAGAAACAAGCACCAAAAACAGTGATAATATGGAATGTACCGAATGTATCCTTAGATGTGCGCACACTGGCTGGCTTGTAAACACTGGCACACACGGGGCAGTTCAGGCCACATGTGGACACGTCTCGTATGAATCGTATCGAATGTCGGGTTTTCCATCGAATGTCGAGGCGAAATTTTTGCGTTAAAATGCATCGGATGTCGGATTTATCGAATGTTGATGCCATCGAATGTTGATGCCAGCGAATGTTGGGGGTGTCTCTGAAAACACTGAGCAGTGGTCAAATGCTGCTTAAATCACAGTAAAAGTTGTTTTGAAATTGATAAAAGGATTTAAAACAAAAAATTTTTTTTTTTAGCCTTCCTCCCCCTTTACACTCACATGTCTCGGGTCTGAGACTTCGTGCCTTTGACACTCTTTGCTGTGTACTCTCATTCTTTGATCTGTATAACTTCATTGTTATAAATATCCAGTTTACTATTTTTTTGTGTATTTTATTGACAGGTTGAGAAGAGATTATCGCAAAATAATTGTCCTGTCCACGAGGGCATTAGAGTGCAACCACGAAGACCACTGTGCAGGCATCTTACCTCCAATCACACGCTACAAGGTTGGTAGACACTGAAAAACAAAAACAGTAGAAAACCAAGCATGATTCACCATAACTAAATCAGAAAACAATGATAAATGCATTTATATTGATCTTGCTGACAGCTATCATTATATTAATCTTGTTGATAGCTGTCATTGTTGATCTTGCTGACAGTGTTTGTTAGTCTTGCTGATAGCTAACATTTTTGGCAGTCTTGCTGACAGCTAGCATTTATGGCAGTCTTGCTGACAGATAGCATTTATGTCAGGCTTGTTGACAGCATTTTTGCAACTTCAGCACCATGATAAATGAAGCTTTCCTTGGATTTCATTTCCTTATAGTTATATAATAAGCTCTTTCAGTCAGTAAGAAAAAATGTTTTCACAGTTTTGATACACGCATGTTCGTGTGCGCACGCTCGCACACACATGAGAGGCAGTATTCTTTAACAGTGCTCCCAGCACACTCAGTTATAGTTACGGTCCTAGAATATTATCAGTGGTCATTGTGTGCCACAGAGTCAGTTAACATAAGGTCAGGAAAGTTATATTTTAAATGTAAATTTGGGAGTTTTTTACTGGAAGCTGAGTGAGGGGTAGTGATGCGGCTGGTCACAGCTGCTGGCAGTGTCTTGCCAAAAGTGATCACAATAAACATTTGTTATCAACAGGTCAAGGTGTGACCCTAATCAGAAAAAAGTGCAAGTAACTGGTCAGTGATGGCCGTAGTGTAGTCATTTAATCATTAATGAGCGATTTGGTAAAGAAAGATAAAGTAAAAATAGTCAATTCTCTGGCAGTTGCTGTTGCCAGAAGTGAGCTGTGAATGCAATTAATATCACGAGGTCCAAGTTATGATCACAATATGTGTGAATACCATGGAATTGATGGTATTGGGTCAGTGAGAAAAACTGGAATGTATGATGAGAAGAACATAAAATAAGTGATATAGACATTGTACAACATTATCAGAAAACACCACCCGGAGGATTTCTACTACTACTGTGACTGCAAACACCAAATACAACGAGTGATGGTACGTGACATGGTGTCAGAATGGGCACCTGTGACGAGTGCGGTTCCACAAGGGTCAGTCCTAGGGCAGGTGCTGTTTCTGGTATGTGTGAATGACATGACAGAAGGGATAGATTCAAAGGTATCCTTGTTTACAGATGATGTGAAGCCAGTGCGAAGAATTAACCCTTTGACTATTTTGGTTGTTTGGCAGTTTGGAGGGATATATTGTGTATTTTTATATGTATATACTTCTAAAATGTTGTATTCTGGGCACCTCTGCAAAAACAGTAATTATGTGTGAGTGAGGTGAAAGTATTGAATGATGATTAAAGTATTTTTTTGGGGGGATTTTCTTTCTTTTTGGGTCACCCTGCCTTGGTGGGAGACGGCCGACTTGTTGAAAGAAAAAAAAATACAGTGGACCCCCGAGTTTCGTGATTAATCCGTTCCAGAGAGCCTGCCAAAAGTCGAAATTCACGAAACTCGAAACCATTTTCCCCATGAGAAATAATGGAAATAAAATTAATCCATTCCAGACACCTAAAAATATTAAAATAAAATATTTTTTTTTCAAATTAGATAAAGATTTATATACTGAAATCAATGAGAAATCAAGTACATGCATATAAAAAATAATAATAACATTACACTTACCTTTACTTAAGACTTCTGGGTGGCTGGAAGACGGGAGGAGAGGATAGGAGGAAGGTGTACGCTATTGTTTGGAAGGAGAATCTCCTTCCATTAGGAGTTTAGGTAGCAAGTCCTTATCTGGGGTTACTTCCCTTCTTCTTTTAATGCCTCTGGGAACAACTTTAGAGTCACTGGACCCCTGTCGCACAAAATATCTGTCCAGAGAGGTCTTTTTCTGGCGTTTCTTCAAGATTTTTCCTGAAGTGGGACACAACACTCTCATTGTACATGTTGCAGATATGGCTTGTTTCAGCTTGGTCAGGGTGATACTTTTCAACAAAACTTTGCAACTCATTCCACTTGGCACAAATCTCCTTAATCTTTGAAGAAGGTACCTCATCCACTCCCTCTTCCTCCTCCTCTGAAGTAAGTTCCTCGGCTGTGATCTGATGCTGTTCCAGTTGAAGCTCTTGCAGTTCGTCAGTGGTTAGCTCTTCCCTGTGGTCCTCCACCAACTCTTCCACATCCCCGTCACTCGCCTCCAACCCCATGGACTTGCCCAATGCCACAACACCTTCTGCAATAGGCAGAGGGTCAGCAGGGACAGGGTCTGCCTCAAACCCTTCAAAATCCCTCTGGATCGTGTTGCTCACTTTATTTACCAAAGGGCTTGCACTAGCTTTCCTTGGGTTCATGATGACTTATTTAGCAGTTGCAAGCACAAAAAACAATGGATTATTATGAAATGTATTGTATGAATCCGTGGGGTGATGGTCACGTGTTGGTAAACAATGGCACACTGAGCATGCAATGGCGTGGGAGACTGGCTTGGTGTGCACAGTGACGGGCGGACGGGTACCGGACGGTCGCCAAAACACATGTCTAATCACGAAACTCGAGGCCAAATTTTGCCAAAAAAAAACTCGCTGAAGGTCGAATTTCACGAAAGTCGAGGCTGCCGAAACTCGAGGGTCCACTGTATATACAGTGGACCCCCGCTTAACGATCACCTCCCAGTGTGACCAATTATGTAAGTGTATTTATGTAAGTGCGTTTGTACGTGTATGTTTGGGGGTCTGAAATGGACTAATCTACTTCACAATATTCCTTATGGGAACAAATTCGGTCAGTACTTGCACCTGAACATACTTCTGGAATGAAAAAATATCGTTAACCGGGGGTCCACTGTACATGTATATGTATACGTCTTATGAGCCAGTGTTTCGGACGTGTATATACTCAGTAATTCTAGCGGCTTCAAATCAAGCAGGAGAAAGCTGGTAGGCCCACATGTGAGAGAATGGGTCTGTGTGGTCAGTGTGCGCCATATAAAAAAAAATCCTGCAGCACGCAGTGCATAATGAGAAAAAGCTCCGACCATTTTTTTTTATTAAAATGCCGACTTTGAGGTGTATTTTCATATAGTATTTATCGTTGTATTCTTGTTTTCATGGTCTCAGGTGATAGAATGGAAAACATGTTACAGAACTAGAGATGATTTTGATTAGTTTCACAGTGAAAACGACCTTGAAATTGAGCTCAAAGTAGCGGAAATGTTCGATTTTTATCACTGTTCAAGAGTCAGCAAATCACACCACACATCCAATACATGTCAACTGAGGAGTCTAATTTTCTTTCACTAGTGCACTGATATTGTTGATACCATTTTTATAATAATGCAGTAGTCTGCATAACAGTAAATCTTCTATTTTTTTGTATGAATAAAAATCAAAATAGAAAGCAATAGTAATATAAGAGGGGCCTGGAGACATGACTAATGAACAGAGGATATGTTATTTTAGTGCCAAGAATGTCTTCATTGTTTATTCTGGACCCTATTTTGAAATTGGCATCTTTTTTAATTTGCGTGAAATTGGCCAAATTGCCAATTTCTGATCACTTTATTGGGTAGTTCAGATCAGGCGGTTTCTTGTACTCAGTTGATAGAAAAAAATAGAGTTCTAAAGAAATAGCTATGAGTTTGGTCAACTGGAGCAATGGAATTGGCTAAAAATAAGGCTCAGTCAGCGAAATCACCGATGTGTGTGTGTTGCCGAGACCGCTAACTTTGCGGGAGCGTAATTCTGTGAGTTTTCGACCAAATTTTGTACTTTTGGCGTCATTACCATCAGGAAAAGATTCTCTCTCATTTCACAAGAAAAAAATAATTTATTTTTTTTCCAAAAACTTTTTGAAATAGAATGACAGTTTCAGAAAGGGGCTTGCGACAGTCAAAGGGTTAAATCGGATAAGGATCAGGTAGGACTACAAAGGGATCTGGACAGGCTGCAAGCCTGGTCCAGCAACTGGCTCCTGGAGTTTAACCCCACCAAGTGTCAAAGAAAACCTCAGAGTACAAGCTAGGGGGTCAAATACTACAAACCTCACTCAAGGTAAAGGATCTTGGGGTGAGTATAATACCTAGCACATCTGAGGCGCACGTCAACCAAATAATTGTTGCAGCACATGGATGCCTGGCACACCTAAGAATAGTGTTTCAACACCTTAGTAAGGAATTGTTCAAGACTCGGTATGCCATGTAAGTCAATCCCATATTGAAATATACAGCACCAGTATGGTACCCACACCTGGTCAAGCACGTTAAGAAATTAGAGAAGGCACAAAGGTTTGCCACAAGACTAGTCCTGGAGCTAAGGGGCATGTCCTATGAGGAGAGGTTAAAGGAAATCGACCTGATGACACTGGAGGACAGGAGGGATAGGGAGGGACATGATAACGACATTTAAAATACTGAGAGGAATTGACAAGATGGATAGGGACAGGACGTTTCAGAAATGGGACACAGCAACAAGTGGTCACAACTGGAAGTTGAAGACTCGGATGAGTCGCAGGGACATTAGGAATTATTTCTTCAATCATGAAGTTGTCAGGAGTGGAACATTCTGGAGAGTGGTGAAGTACCGGCAGGATCCATACATAGCTTTAAGAAGAGATATGATAAAGCTCATAGAGCAGGAAGAGAGTGGATGTAGTAGCTACCAGTGAAGAGGCAGGGGCATGAGCTGTGACTCATCCCCCTGCAACCACAAATAGGTAAGTACAAAAGTGCCTCCACATACACAGAGAGTGTGTGAGAGAGTGTGTGTGTGAGAGAGAGAGAGAGTGTGAGAGAGAGTGTGAGAGAGAGTGTGAGAGAGAGTGTGAGAGAGAGTGTGAGAGAGAGTGTGAGAGAGAGTGTGAGAGAGAGTGTGAGAGAGAGTGTGAGAGAGAGTGTGAGAGTGTGAGAGTGTGAGAGAGAGTGTGAGAGAGAGTGTGAGGGAGAGAGTGTGAGAGAGAGTGTGAGAGGAGTGTGAGAGAGAGTGTGAGAGAGAGTGTGAGGAGAGTGTGGAGAGAGAGTGTGAGTGAGGAGTGTGGAGAGGAGTGTGTGAGAGAGTGTGAGGAGAGTGTGAGAGAGTGTGTGAGGAGTGTGTGAGTGAGTGTGTGAGTGAGTGTGTGAGTGAGTTGTGTGTGTGTGTGTGTGTGGGTGTGTGTGAGTGTTCAGAGTGTGATGTGTGTGTGTGTGTGTGTGATGTGTGTGTGTGTTGTGAAGTGAGTGAGTGAGTTGTCAGGATTGTGAAATAGCCTAGGAAGTGACGTAATGGAGGCAGGAACCATACAAGAAAAGGTTTCATAAAGCTCATGGAGCAGGGAGAGAGAGGGCTTAGTAGCAACCATTGAAGAGGATGGCCAGGAGCTATGACTCGACCTCTGCAACCACAAATAGGTGAATACACACAGGTGAGAGAGAGATGAGGTGAGAGTGATCCAGCAAGACTGGAACTAGTATTCACCTTGAGTAGTTAGGACATAGAGGTTATTACTTATGAAAGGCCCCATGGAGCTAGTGATCATGTGGTTCTGTGCTTTAATTACATAGATGAGTTACAAGTGGAGAGAGTAGCAGGAATAGGACGGGAAAAACCAAACTACAAAGGGGGGGACTACACAGGCATGAGGAACTTCCTGCAAAACGTTCAGTGGGAGAGAGAATTGGCAGGAAAACCAGTAAAAGAAACGATGGACTATGTGACAACAAAATGCAAGGAGGCAGAGGAGAGGTTTGTTCCCAAAGGAAACAGAAATAATGGGAAAGTCCAAAACAAGTCTTTGGTTCACCCAAAGGTGTACGGAGGCAAACACCAAGTGCAGTAGAGAATGGAAAAAGCACAGAAGACACAGGACCCAGGAAAATAAAGAGATTAGCTGAAGAGCCAGAAATAAATATACACATATAAGAAGGAAGGCTCAGCGACAGTACGAAAATAACATAGCATCAAAAGTCAAGTCTAACCCGAAGCTGTTGTATAGCCACATCAGGAGGAAGACAACAGTCAAGGACTACGTAATAAGAGGTATGTGAGGAGCTCAACATGAGATTTAAAGAAGTATTTACATTGGAGACAGGAACAACTCCAGGAATTCAGAATAGGGAGGTAAACCAACAAGTGCTGGATGAAATACAACCGAGGAGGAGGTAAAGAAGCTGCTATGTGAACTTGATATCTCAGAGGCGGTGGGACTAGACAACATCTCTCCGATGGGTCCTTAGAGAGGGAGCAGAGATGCTGTGTGTGCCATTAACAAAAAATCTTCAACACATCCATTGAAACTGGGCAACTACCTGAGATATGGAAGATGTCAAATGTAGTCCCAGTTTTTAAGAAAGGAGACAGACATGAGGCATTACACTACCGACCTGTGTCACTAACATGTATAGTATGCAAAGTCATGGAAAAGATCATCAGGAGGAGAGTGGTGAAGCACCTAGAAAGACAAAGCTTATAAATGACAACCAGCACGGTTTCAAGGAAGGAAACCCGTGTCACAAACCTGCTAGAGTTTTACGACAAGGTAACAGAAGTAAGACACGAGAGAGAAGGCTGAATAAACTGCATTTTCTTGGACTGAAAGAAGGCCTTCGACACAGTTCCTCACAAGAGGTTAATGCAAAAGCTAGAAGATCAGGCACATATAACAGGAAAGGCACTACAATAGATCAGAGAATATCTGACAGGGAGGCAACAACGAGTCATGGTACGTGACGAGGTGTCAGAGTGGGTGCCTGTGATGAGCGGGGTTCCACAGGGGTCACTCCTAGGACCTGTGCTGTTTTTGGGATAAGTGGAATAACGGAAAAGAACTCATTCCATGTTTGTAGTGATTGAAGTTTTATAGGAAATTTAAGTGAAGGTATTCAGCAACTGGCAAAAGACTTACAAACTACAACCTTACAATTGGCCTTTGAATTTAACCGGCCAATGTAGTAAAAGAAGATAGGAAGGGCAAAAAGCCCCGGCAAGAGGGAAACCAGAGCAGAATAAAAGTTAGGTGGCAAAAAAATGCAAAAACCTCACTCAAGGAAAAAGGTCTTGGGTGAATTTAAACCGAAAACAATATCTTTGAAGGGGGAACATCCCAAAGAAAACGAGCAGATGCTGTGGCAAACTTTCAACCCCCCAAGGGAAAAAAGATTTCCGGATACTCGAAAGGAAATCAATCAGATCTGTTACACCATATTGTAAAAAAGGGCCCATACCTGGAAATTTTGCAGCACCAGTTTTGGGGAAAAACCCCTTTAATCCACACCTGGTCAAGCACATCAAGATATTAGAGAAATTGCAAAGGTTTGCAACAAGACTAGCCCCAGAGCTGAGGGGATTGTCCTGCGAAGAAAGGTTGAGGGAAATTGGCCTGACGACACTGGAGGACAGGAGGGTCAGGGGAGACATGATAACAACATATAAAATTCTCTGAGGAATTGACAAGGTGGACAAAGACAGGATGTTCCAGAGATGGGATTCAGAAACATGGGGTCACAGTTGGAAATTGAAGACTCCTATGAGTCAAAGGTATGTTAGAAAGTATTTCTTCAGTCATAGAATTGTCAGGAAGTGGAATAACCTAGAAAGTGACGTAGTGGAGACAGGAACCTTACATAGTTTTAAGACGAAGCTTGATAAAGCTCATGGAGCATTGAGAGAGAGGACCTAGTAGCAATCAGTGAAGCAGTGGTGAGTACACACGCACACGTGCTAGAGAATGGAAAAAGCATGAAAGACAAAGGACCGAGGAAAATAAGGATATTAGTCGAAGAGCCAGAAATGAATATGCACGGATAAGGAGGAGGCCCAGTGAGCAAAACGAAAATGACATAGTATCGAAAGCCTAGTCTGACCTGAAGCTTTTGTACAGCCACATCAGGAGGAAAACAACAGTCAAGGACCAGGTAATCAGGCTGAGGAAGGAAGATTTCTAGGTTATAACTTGCCTGAGCACAATGCAGACCATAACCATACAGGAGACAGCAATCAGTCTCTTTTGTTTTTGTTTTTACTTGTTCTCACAGTTTTTGTGAAACATACTGTAAGACTGAACAAAAGATACAAGAGAGAGAGATACACACTCAAAGGCCTTGTTCCATATCTGCACATTGCCATAACATACTGGAGTGAGAGATATGGGAGGAAGTGCAAAATAAACCCAGTGAAAAGCAGTGGTGCATTGGCACAATAAGGGAACACTGTATCAACATTCATGATCCCAGAGTATTTAGCATCTTACCTGAAGATATCAGAAACACTGCTGGAACAAGTGTAAAAGTCTTCAAGAGAAAACTGGGTAGGTATTTTCACTGGGTGCCTGATCAACCAGGCTGTGATGGATATGTGGGGCAGTGGGCCTCCAGCAGCAACAGCTTGATTGACCAGGCTACCACCAGACAAGCCTGTCTCATAGCCGAGCTTTGGGAGTAGAAAGGCTCTCGAAACTCATCAAAGGTAGCATTATGTAGTTTTCAAAATTTTGCTAAATAATTCAGCAAGTTCTTATTAGCACTGCTTGGCAATGCTTTGAATTATAAGACCCTGTGATGCCCAGGTGAGACAATTTTCTTACACTTGGTATCCCACTTTAAATGACATTTTTGGTTATTATTATTATTAATAATTTATATCATTTGAATTAAAACATTAAGAAATTTTATTTGACTTTGTCTAAATTTATCAAGTTATGTAATGTGATATAAACTTTTCAGATAAATTGGCACCTCTTCGCGACCAAGTTACAGAATACCCCAGCTTTGTGTTAGCAGTTCGTGAAGGAGAAGTAAATCCTCAAATGTATCGAAATCCTTTTGATATTCCTCGCTTCTGTCTACTTGATCAGCTGACACGCATGAGAGCAAACTTCCTTCAGGTGGGACCACTACTTAGCATAGTATGATGGTTTTCTTTTCCCTAAACCTTTCAAGGTCTGTGTTGCAGAACTATGTGATGAGCACAGCTCACTCAAATAAGCTATGAGTGATAAATATGGGCCTAGGTATGAGAGACACTGGGTCTATGCAGTGAGTTTGCACTATATAAAAAGAATCCTGCTCCACGCAGTGCATGATGGGAAGAAAAAACTGTGACCATGTATTTGGTTAAAAATAGTAACTTTGGTGTGTATTTTCAGATGGTTTTTATGGTTGTGTTCTTGATTTCTTGGTATCATTTAATAGAATGGAAGATATATTACAGAAATAGAGATGATTTTGGTTTCAGGAATGGAAGTAACTTGAAACTGATCTCAAAGTAGCTGATATTCCAGAGGACACAAATTACGTCGTTCGTCCAACACGTTCAGCTGGTCGGTCTAAAACACATTCACTAATGCGCTGACGTTTTTTATGCAATTACGTATTACAATAATGCATTAGTCTACATATTAGTAAATCTATTTTTTGTTAGAAAAAAAAATTCAATATGGAAAGCAAGTGTAATATAGAAGAGAAACATAAACCGAAACATAAATAATGAACAGAGGAGATGCTGTTTTAGTGCCAGGAATGTCTGCATTGTTTATTCTGGACTCTATTTTTAAATTGGCAATTTTTTTAATTTTGTTGTCTGTTTGTGGACCTGGGAACCAGCCTGGGGAACCAGAACAATTTCAGATTTTCCCCAAACTTTATGATGCAACAAGTTTTCTGAATGGGAACCAACCCAAATTAAATTTTTCCCATATTTTGCCACATTGAAGTCGGTTCTAATAATTTTGGGATATAAATATGATTAGCATTCTAATAAAAATGTGCTGCCTAAATTATTAAGGGAAGGCCTGTCTATGGTAAAATACTAAGCACATTAATCAACGTCACAAAAATATGTGGGCAAGCATTGGTCTGTCTTGCAAAAAATATACACAAATTTGAGAAAGCTGCATTACCCCAAGGATCTTTGTTAGACCATTTGCAGTGTGGTATAGTTGTCTATTATGTCAGCCAGCACGCTGCTAGACTCACTAACATATACTGAGGCCTAGCATCAGGTAACAGTGCAGCTATAACATTTTATTAGAGGAATCCTCTTGCAGGGCTTCTTGAAATCAACAATAATGATACTGAGCAAAAGGAATGGCACAAAAGTTGGCAATAAAATATGGCTGCAGCAATGGGAAGATAAGATAGTGACCAATCTGAGAGGACCGCACAAAACATAACGAGGTGGAAAATGAGTTTAAAGTGTATGCAGATTTAAAATACTTATATTCAGTGAAAGATTAATCTAGACAACCTCCTTGTATACAAGCATAATGATTGGAGTGTATGTAAAGTATCATATGTCTCTTATTTTTTGTCCACAGTCATCCCTGGCACTACTACTGACAGACAGAGACTTTGACCAGCTACATTGTCGCCCTATCAGTCAAATGGGCAATTATCAGGTTAGTGTAAAAATCTATGTCCAGTTTTTCCTTTATTTGTTTTCTAGATTTTTATTGATGTAGAATATGATACTCTGGGAAATATTGGGTATAAATAAATTATTCATATTTGTTCATATTTTCCTTTAACAAGAAGCAATGTAAAATATTAATTCAGTGGACCCCTGGTATTCGATATTAATCCGTTCCTGAGAGCTCATCGAATACCGAAAATATCAAAAACCGAATCAATTTTCCCCATGAGAAATAATGGAAATCAAATTAATCCATGCAAGACACCAAAAGTATGAAAAAAAAAAATTTACCACATGAAATATTAAGTTTAATGCAATAGAATAATTGCAATAACAATAGAATAATAACAATAGAATAATTGACACTTACCTTTAATGAAAAGCTGGTGGTGATTGATGGGATGGGAGGACGGGAGTGTCGAAGTTGTTACTGTTTAGAAGGGGAATCCCCTTCCATTAGGACTTAAGGTAGCAAGCCCTTTTCAGGGGTTACTTCCCTTCTTCTTTTAATGCCACTAGGACCAGCTTGAGTGTCACTGGACCTCTGTCGCCGTTCCTTTAAGATTTGTCTAAAATGGGCCATAACATTGTCATTGTAATAGTCACCAGCACGGCTTACAATAGCTGTGTTAGTGTGATTTTCATCCATAAAGGTTTGCAGTTCAACCCACTTTGCACACATTTCCTTAATTTTTGAAGTAGGCACAATGGATTCCACAACTGGCATAGGCTTCTCAGGGTTAGCCCCAAACCCTTCAAAATCTTTCTAAATTTCCATACTAATTCTCACCCTTTTTACCACAGGATTGGCACTAGAAGCTTTCTTGGGGCCCATGGTGACTTATTTTGCAGAAGCAAGCACCAAAAACAGTGATAATATGGAATGTACCAAATGTATCCTTAGATGAGCGCGCACTGCCTGGCTTGTAAACACTGGCACACACGGGGCAGTTCAGGCCACACGTGGACACGTCTCGTACAAATCGCATCAAATACCGGGTTTTCGATCGGATACCGAGGTGAAATTTTAGCGTTAAAATGCATCGAATACCGGATTTACTGAATACCGATGCCATCGAATACCGGGGGTACACTGTAATTGTATAGTACTGTATATTAACCCTTTCACTGTCGGTCCCGTAATATTATGGCTTGCAAGCCAGTGTTGTTCCCATAGTACTACACCTAAATTCTAGCAGTTTCAAATCTAGTGGGAGAAAACTAGTAGACCTTCATGTGAGAGAATGGGTCTGCGTGCTCAGTTTGTGCAATATAAAAAAATCGAGGAGCCATTGGTGCATTATGGGAATGCAATTTCAATAGGCCTTGTTCACCATGCATCGTGGTAAGAAATACCTCATTTCCTGGTGAACTGGGATTCTTCTCTTCCCAAGTGATAGTTCTAACACAGTTAGAAGTGTCAGTGAAGATGAATTTTGTGGTTTTGAGGAGTTTGCGACTGAAAGCAATACCCAGGATACTGGAAATAATACTGAAAACCCAGATGAACCTCAGCCTTTCACCTCTGGTGCTGGCCTGTCTTGTTCACATTCATTTGTACCAGGGCGAAAGAGGAAACTCATATTATCCCATGTCCAGAATTCGGATGTGAGCAATGGTGATGATAGTGATAGCGATTGTGATTTCCAAGCTCTTGATTACAATTCCAGTAGCGACAGTGAAGAGGAATATTCTCTAGTGAAGCGTCAATTTGTACAATGCTACGTGCATTCTGGTAGTATGCCATATGCTATTCCAAGGGAAAGGAGTACATCTTGGAGAACATGACGATAATCCAGTGGACCCCCGGCATTCGATGGGATCGGTATTCGATAAATCCGGTATTCGATGCATTATATTACCTGGAGTTTACCTGGAGAGAGTTCCGGGGGTCAACGCCCCCGCGGCCCAGTCTGTGACCAGGCCTCCTGGTGGATCAGAGCCTGATCAACCAGGCTGTTGCTGCTGGCTACACGCAAACCAACGTACGAGCCACGGCCCGACTGGTCAGGAACCGACTTTAGGTGCTTGTCCAGTACCAGCTTGAAGACTGCCAGGGGTCTGTTGGTAATTCCCCTTATGTATGCTGGAAGGCAGTTGAACAGTCTCGGGCCCCTGACACTTATTGTATGGTCTCTTAACGTGCTAGTGACACCCCTGCTTTTCATTGGGGGGATGTTGCATCGTCTGCCAAGTCTTTTGCTTTCGTAGTGAGTGATTTTCGTGTGCAAGTTCGGTACTAGTCCCTCTAGGATTTTCCAGGTGTATATAATCATGTATCTCTCCTGCCTGCGTTCCAGGGAATACAGTTTTAGGAACCTCAAGCGCTCCCAGTAATTGAGGTGTTTTATCTCCGTTATGCGCGCTGTGAAGGTTCTCTTTACATTTTCTAGGTCAGCAATTTCACCTGCTTTGAAAGGTGCTGTTAGTGTGCAGCAATATTCCAGCCTAGATAGAACAAGTGACCTGAAGAGTGTCATCATGGGCTTGGCCTCCCTAGTTTTGAAGGTTCTCATTATCCATCCTGTCATTTTTCTAGCAGATACGATTGATACAATGTTATGGTCCTTTAAGGTGAGATCCTCCGACATGATCACTCCCAGGTCTTTGACGTTGGTGTTTCGCTCTATTTTGTGGCCAGAATTTGTTTTGTACTCTGATGAAGATTTAATTTCCTCGTGTTTACCATATCTGAGTAATTGAAATTTCTCATCGTTGAACTTCATATTGTTTTCTGCAGCCCACTGAAAGATTTGGTTGATATCTGCCTGGAGCCTTGCAGTGTCTGCAATGGAAGACACTGTCATGCAGATTCGGGTGTCATCTGCAAAGGAAGACACGGTGCTGTGGCTGACATCCTTGTCTATGTCAGATATGAGGATGAGGAACAAGATGGGAGGGAGTTCTGTGCCTTGTGGAACAGAGCTTTTCACCGTAGCTGCCTCGGACTTTACTCTGTTGACGACTACTCTCTGTCTTCTGTTAGTGAGGAAATTATAGATCCATCGACCGACTTTTCCTGTTATTCCTTTAGCACGCATTTTGTGCGCTATTACGCCATGGTCACACTTGTCGAAGGCTTTTGCAAAGTCTGTATATATTACATCTGCATTCTTTTTGTCTTCTAGTGCATTTAGGACCTTGTCGTAGTGATCCAATAGTTGAGACAGACAGGAGCGACCTGTTCTAAACCCATGTTGCCCTGGGTTGTGTAACTGATGGGTTTCTAGATGGGTGGTGATCTTGCTTCTTAGGACCCTTTCAAAGATTTTTATGATATGGGATGTTAGTGCTATCGGTCTGTAGTTCTTTGCTGTTGCTTTACTGCCCCCTTTGTGGAGTGGGGCTATGTCTGTTGTTTTTAGTAACTGTGGGACGACCCCCGTGTCCATGCTCTCCATAAGATGGAAAAGGCTCGTGATAGGGGCTTCTTGCAGTTCTTGATGAACACGGAGTTCCATGAGTCTGGCCCTGGGGCAGAGTGCATGGGCATGTCATTTATCGCCTGTTTGAAGTCATTTGGCGTCAGGATAACATCGGATAGGCTTGTGTTAACCAAATTCTGTGGCTCTCTCATAAAAAATTCACTTTGATCTTCGACTCTCAGTCTGGTTAGCGGCTTGCTAAAAACTGAGTCATATTGGGACTTGAGTAGCTCACTCATTTCCTTGCTGTCATCTGTGTAGGACCCATCTTGTTTAAGTAGGGGCCCAATACTGGACGTTGTTCTCGACTTTGATTTGGCATAGGAGAAGAAATACTTTGGGTTTCTTTCGATTTCATTTATGGCTTTTAGTTCTTCCCGTGATTCCTGACTCCTATAAGATTCCTTTAGCTTAAGTTCGATGCTTGCTATTTCTCTGACCAGTGTCTCCCTACGCATTTCAGATATATTGACCTCTTTTAGCCGCTCTGTTATTCTTTTCCGTCGCCTGTAAAGGGAGCGCCTGTCTATTTCTATTTTACATCTACTCCTCCTTTTTCTTAGAGGAATAAGCCTTGTGCATACATAGAGTGCCACCAAGTTAATCTGTTTTAGGCATAAGTTGGGGTCTGTGTTGCTTAGTATATCTTCCCAGCTTATATCGGTTAGGACTTAGTTTACTTGGTCCCACTTTATGTTTTTGTTATTGAAGTTGAATTTTGGTGAATGCTCCCTTGTGACTAGTCTCATTATGTCGGTCTGGGGCTCCACGCATACATGTCTGAACCTCAATTATGTTGTGATCTGAGTATATTGTTTTTGATATGGTGACATTTCTTATCAGATCATCATTGTTAGTGAAGATGAGGTCTAGTGTATTCTCCAGTCTAGTAGGCTCTATTATTTGCTGGTTTAAATTGAATTTTGTGCAGAGATTTAAAAGTCGTGTGAGTGTGAGTTTTCATCAGAGCTGCCTCCTGGTGTTATTACTGCAACAATATTATTTGCTATATTCCTCCATTTTAGGTACCTTAAGTTGAAATCCCCCAGGAGCAAGATGTTGGGTGCAGGAGCTGGAAGATTTTCCAGACAGTGGTCAGTTTTTAACAGCTGTTCCTGGAATTGCTGGGATGTTGCATCCGGAGGCTTGTAGACTACCACAATGACTAGGTTTTGGTTCTCGACCTTTACTGCTAAAACTTCCACTACATCATTTGAGGCATTAAGCAGTTCTGTGCAAACAAGTGACTGCAGTGTACAGGCCAACCCCCCCTTCCCCCCCATTTTGCCTGTTCACTGTCACATCTGTATAGGTTGTAACCTGGGATCCATATTTCGTTGTCCAAGTGATCCTTTATGTGGGTCTCAGTGAAAGCCGCGAACATTGCCTTTGCCTCTGCAAGCAGTCCACGGATGAAAGGTATTTTGTTGTTTGTTGCTGGCTTTAGACCCTGTATATTTGCAAAGAAGAATGTCATCGGACTGGTGGTATTGTTGGTACTGGGGGGGGGATTTTTTTTCTGGCATTAGTATCCGTAATTTTTGGGTTTGGAGTGGAGGCC